TTYMAARSMAAWYMAWTYMAAWTYMAAAMYTTWWSYTYMRKTTYMRKTTTAGTAAAATTTATTTTCAAACCAATGCGTTAAATTTCAAAATATGCACATTCAGATTCAATCTGAGCAATTCAAAKTTCAAYTCCTGCTGGCACAAGATGGAGCTCACTTRTCCCTCTCAGCGCTGAAATAACCAAAATAAAAGTTTAATAATCAGAGAGGAATGTTCAGTTGTTGTGCAGTCAAAACACAATCTATTTTAGCACCAATAAAATGCTCAATAATGAGCTGTTTTAAACACGAGTCAGCGGTTTTGATTTGGAAACTGAGACGTTTCTGTTGAGAAATCGATGAGTCACTCGTGTTAAAACCCTCTCTGTCTCATCAGGCTCCATCGTGGCGGCCGTCCTGGCCAGCGACTCGGACTCTGGGGTGAACGGCGAGGTCACCTACTCGCTGGAGGAGGACGATGAAGACGGGACCTTCCTCCTGAACTCGGTGACGGGCGTCTTTAACGTGACGCGCCCGCTGGACTACGAGACGCAGCAGTACTACGTCCTCACGGCGAAGGCCCGGGACGGGGGCGGCCTGGCCGGCACTGTCCGGGTCTATTTCAACGTGCTGGATGTCAACGACAACCCGCCCGCGTTTGACGCCGCCGTCTACAGCGCGTCGGTGTCGGAGAGTCTGCCGCCCGGGGCCAGCATCGTCACCGTGGTGGCCAGCGATGAAGACGATGGTACGTCTGAAAGCTTCTTGAAGAAATAATTAGATGGTTTTTTTTGTACAATCACAAAGAGGAGAGACTGTTTCTGACATTTGTGTYGCTCCGCAACAGCTTCATTAATGACAGGCAGACAGAAACAGAACCAACTAAAAAGYAAGCCTCAAACAAGCAGCTGCTGCTCGAAAACTTTGAGTCGAATCTTAAAAATTCTTGAAAGTGAGTGACGGAGGACTCTAAAGGTTGCACTTCTGGGTTTTTAATGTTTCTACAATGTTTTATTCAGGAGATACGGCAAGTTAAAAAGACACTTCCACATTTTGAGCTAAAATATAACTAAATCTGTGGCTGTCAACAGTTTAAGGGGATTTGAGAGAAAACTGTAAGTCCTGTACAAGTGGGAGACAAATCAGGTAAAAGACAAAAAAAAACATCAACATTTTGATGTATAATTTGTTTTATTACCAAAAAGGTTATAAATAATAAACATTTAAAACTGTGGTGACTGTGATGTAGTTGATAGCGGAAACTTCCACTAATTTTTAACCTGTTTAGCAGTTAGCAGTAACTTCCACTAATTTGTAACTTGTTTAGCAGTTAAGCTGTAACTTCCACTAATTTTTTAACCCGTTTAGCAGTTAGCAGTAACTTCCACTAATTTGTAACTTGTTTAGCAGTTAGCAGTAACTTCCACTAATTTGTAACCTGTTTAGCAGTTAGCGGAAACTTTCACTAATTTTGTAACATGATTAGCAGTTAGCGGTAACTTCTACCAATTTTGTAACCTGTTTAGCAGTTAGCGGTAACTTCCACTAATTTTGTAGCCTGTTTAGCAGTTAGCAGTGACTTCCACTAATTTTGTAGCCTGTTTAGCAGTTAGCGGTAACTTCCACTAATTTTGTAACCTGGTTTAGCAGTTAGCAGTAACTTCCACTAATTTTGTAGCCTGTTTAGCAGTTAACAGTAACTTCCACTAATTTTGTAGCCTGTTTAGCAGTTAGCAGTAACTTCCACTAATTTTGTAGCCTGTTTAGCAGTTAGCAGTGACTTCCACTAATTTTGTAGCCTGTTTAGCAGTTAGCAGTGACTTCCACTAATTTTGTAGCCTGTTTAGCAGTTAGCAGTGACT